CACACAGACACACACACAGACACACACACACAGACACAGACAGCACGCTAAGCACTACACTACCGTTCCCCCTACACAACACACGCGCGCGCGTCCATAGGAACACATACACGCGCTTGCTGCAGACACACACGACTTTCAGGGTGCGCACGGCAGTAAACGACTGCAATAATAAAGCGGCAATGCTGCGCGAGGAACGCCTTAGACCTGCAACACATTTGTGTAATGCGAGCGTAAACACACAAACACATACATACACATACACACATACATAGAGACACACAGACATACACATAAACACACATACACATGACCCGGCTTCGCCCGGGACTTGGATCCACGATGCCCGGCCGCCTTTGTCTCCCCAGTGACGATGTTCACACACGACAGCAGTTACGCGTTTGAGGCTGAGTGGACCTAGGGGAGGGCCAGGTCCGTTTCAAATAATCGTCAGCGGTGGTGGGCGTGAGTTGGAATCGAACTGGGGTCGCTCAAGCAGCTTAATGACTGTTTGTACAAAGAACATATAAAGAATCGATTATAATAACCAGGCAAGAGTCCACATTATAGACTGCCAGTACACGCACTCAGCTTCATAAGCAGGCTAGAGTGTACATGATAGAGTGGCAGTACGCTCACCGAGCTTAATAAGCAGGCTACAGTGTACATGATAGACTGGCAGTACGCTCACCCAGCTTAATGAGTATTTGTACAGTGAACATTAAAGTAATCGATTGTTGGCGCGTTGGGTTTAAAAGTAATATTAATAGAACACATTGTGGTGGGGGTGTAGTGAAGAGTAGGAAAAACTTTGATGAATTTACCTCAGAGTGGCGTGGTGGGTGTCGAGGCCTAGTAGCGTGCAAAGCCTGCGGCCTCGCCTAAAATTGTCGGCTTGGAAGAGGCAGGGTACGGGTGGCGTGCCTTCCCCCCCCCCTCAGCGCTCCAACAATACTGTGTAATGGCTATTATTTAATTAAATACGGAGCTTATGAAAGTGGCGAAGGCGTGGCTAGCCGTTGGCAGGGGCAACCGCCGTCCAATGAAACTGCAGCCTTTGGCGAAGGCGTCGCTAGCCGTTGCCAGGTCCAATGAAAGCGGCGAAGGCGTGGCTAGCCGTTGCCAGGGGCAACCGTCGTCCAATGAAAGTGCGTATGGGCCGAAATCCACACACACACACACAGACAGACAGACATGAACGATTTTATATATATAGATGGAGCCGAACATTATCCTAAAATCAGGGCTATTAGACAGAAGGTATCTTACCTCATCCACTAGGTTACCACTGCCACAAAAGACCTGTGCTAGGAGATCAATCGATGATTGATTCATCCTCAAGACCGTAAAGACGCGGATTATGACATTAAGTGTTTTAATTACGCATGCACTTCATAAATAATGAAAACTGTTTGAACGAATTTTGTACTTTCCTATAAATTTCACAAGTTCAGCAAAATACTAAAATAAATGAATACTTAAAAAGATATATATTATTCATCTTCACACACAATCTTGATACTTATGTATTCTATCTGAAATCCTGTGAACTCTTTCCAGGAGTTTATTTTATTTTTTTAATTAAAAAAATATATTTTCCGAAGAAATTAAGAAAATTTATTTTACGAAACCACATCAAGGCCTTCCTTTTGGGAGGATGGGATACTGTTTATTGCCATGTTTTTATCAACAGTCTCAATGTTGCAGCATTCTAATCATAAATTATCCTTGCACCTTTTCTGCCATATGTTCACACTACTGGTATATATTTTTACGCCTGTTGTTACTGGCTAAGTTGTACATTTATTTCTCTTTAGCTTACTTTTTATTCAAATTGGTGCCTTGAAATAATGTCATGGGGTGCTTCTGAATAGACATATTGTCCATTCAGAACCACTCCCTGGAAGGAGATGACACATATCGACTTCTGAGATCCTTGCGAATTACTAATTGTATCCCACATCATGTATTACATAATTTCCCCACATTCCCTACGACAGAGACATTGTCATTAAATGCCAGTCAGCAGGTCTCATATCTTTAATTCTCATAGCTGGAATTTAGCAAAATTAAGTAAAAAACTAAATTTTATTCATTTCGTGCAGTCATTGGTGATTGAGCAGAGATCAACTCACCTAAACATAGGTGAGTTGAAACCCAACATTTGAACGTGGGATTTCAAGTGACTATGTGGTGTGATCTTTAAACCACCTATTTTTATCATTGTTAAAAAAAAAGGTTTTTGAACAGCTCATCCATACATTTGTAACTTACCTTGCATTTTACAGACCTCCCTCGCTAAAGAGAGATTTCCTAATTCACTGCTGGGTGAAAGCATCCTCATGCCATGTCAGTCATGGTTTTTTTTGTACCATACTTCACCAGTGAAACTGTTGTGACACAATTTGTTCTGGCATAAATACACGCCCTCTCTCTTTCCATGTATATGTATTGATTTTGTAATTGTTTTGTTTGTGTATTATTATTTAGTCTATTCTTACTTGTTGGCCACATCTGTCTTGTCTCTTCATTGCTCATTGCAGCGTGATATCTGCTGCGACACTCAGATGAAGGATGGGAGGCAGTGCCAAGACTGAGTTATAGATCACTCTCACTCGCCACTGATATTATCCCTATCCGGGAATCAAACTCAGATCATGCAGTGCACTAACCACTGCACTACTGACTAGTGAACTAGAACATGTTATAAACTCATTATTAGCTGCCATTAATGTATGTACGTTGAACTTCTTTCGCACCGTATATAGCCAACCGTGCTAGTCGGAGGTGAAGGGGGAAGGACAACACACTAAACACAAAAGCAGTTCTAAAAAAATAGTTTTCAATCTATATTCAAAAGTGCATAGCTCCAGTGGCTTCCGAATATCGCAAGTGCGTTCCAGACGGCCGCAGAAGCGTATCTGAAAGCGCGCGATGCAGTGACCGTCTTTGTTCGATGGCTCGCCAAAAGATGCTGCAAGGATGATCGGAGTCTGTTTGATGCTCATGGTTAAAGGCCCCCCCCCCCCAAGTCGTCACGATATCTCACGATCCTTTGACGGACGATTCCGCCAGCACTTGCTGAACCCGAGCTGAATTCATCACTCCATCTCCTCGGGTTGACCTATATATTCGAGGCATCAAAAACAAATCTAGAGTACAATATTTTACAATGATGTAATCAGCTATGCACAACCCATTGGCCACAAAGTATGCAAATGTTGTGTCTAAATCTATGACCCTACTACATATTAGAAAATTCTCCGTTAATGTTATGGCTCACTGCAGCAAGGTAAATGGCTGGAGTGTATGAAATTAGATTTCGTTTCTTTTTTATTAACAAATACCATGCATCGCGTTTTGCTTCGGCCAATACGATATTGGCCGACATGGATAAATAAGTAATAACTGTATATTCATTTTGGAGTATCCATGAAGCAAAATAAAATTGCCACAAAACAGAAGGCACCGTGAGAGCCTCCTCCCTCCCCACCCCCCCAAGGTTATCTCAACCACTTCCCTACTCCACGTCCCGCCCCCGGCTTCCTGCTGTTCCTGCAAAGGAGAGGATGAGGTTAATAACAATAACAATACTACTACTGTGCTCCAAAGGTTTAGGGCCATTCGTCCAAGTTAAGCCGAGGGCGCGCGGGTTTTTTTTTCCATTGAGAAATAAGGCAGCCCGCGCCATTTGACCGAATTTGAAACGTGCGGTACATTACTACAAACGTTAATATTCGGATAAAACCCTGTGGCTTTGTGAGCTAAAATATTGTCGTCTGTACGATGTATGTAAACTAATTCCTCTTATGATTGCATCTGACCTTTGTCAATTCGATGTTGGATAAAGGCCTACCCACCCCCCCCCCGCCCCCCATGCCGTGTTGGCCATGGGAATTGTTTGACCATACTTCACCACGCCGGTCAGTGCAGATTGGTGAAAGTGGGGGGGGGGGGGGGGGTGAGAAGCCCAGAACCGGTTCAGACATCACTCGGAGACGATGTTAGCCCGGACCCAGAGGTCGCAAACTGGTTTTGATTCCTTACCCGTACCCGTACCCGGCCGCACCAGGGTCGCAAATGGGTACCCGTACCCTACCCGAAATGAGTGACAATGAGTGACAACAGTTACTCACCAGTGACTCACGGCCTACCCGTACCCGTACCCGGCCGCACCAGGGTCGCAAACGGCTACCCGTACCCGGCCGGGTACGGGTAGCCGGGTATCGGGTAGGGTACGGGTATCGGGTACCCGGTTGCGACCTCTGCCCGGACCCCGGGTTCATACCGCAGTGTGTCAACCACTGTGCTGTCGCTCCTCTTTTTTTCCGTTTTAATATACAGTATCGCCTTTTATCACCCGACGTGTAGAACATTGCGTTAAATATCTACGTATATAATTATATAAAACGTGTGCCAGATATTGGCGTGCATCAGTTCTTAGAAGTTATGTTGTTTCGTGTTGGTGCAGACACTTGCTGAGCACATTCCCAGCAGTGTACCTCTCTAATTTCGCCACATTGGGGGCGACATGTGAACTGGTACGCAGGAGGTCGTTGGTTTCAATCCCGACCCTCATTAATGTACATTCGGAGTTTGCGTTTTCTCCCTGTGGTCAGGTAGATTTTACTTCGGGTTCTCCAGTTTTTCTCTCCACATCTAGAAAAATGCGTTCAGAGTATTTGGCTGCTATAAATTGCCACATGATAAGCCACTTTATTGAGATGTGATTTGTGACCAGGTCGCTTTCTGAAAAAGAGCTGTATAGTTCAGTAAGCCTTATCTAATAAAAATAGTAAAATAGTAGTAATTGCGTTATTTCAGCAGCTTTCGAAATCTGCATTCGTATCCTCTTTCAGTGTGGAGAAAATGTGAAGATATTTTTGTTTTCAAATTGGAAACCAACGAATACGCCGCAATGTAGGTATACATTTCAAACGTTGGCTGCCAGGCCTCAGAGCGCAGTAAAAGCGACAGAGACGGACCCGAAATGGAAAACAACAAGTTATATTGAATCGTACATCAAATTTTATTCCACGCATGTTGTGTTGTACGACACGGAACACACAAATGTTTTTGACCAACAGACAACATTAAACAAGTTGCAAATTCAAGAAACCTGTAAACGAATATATTGGTGTTTTTCAAGTATATAAGACATACATAGCTTCAGAGTTGTCGAAGCCTTCATACCCTAATGCGTGTTGCAGGGTTTTCTTTATGGAAGAGGTCACATTGCTCTCAGCTCACATAAAAGCCTCACCTGTGGACAATTATTACAGTAACACGTGTTATTTACAATGAAACCAGACTCGTAATGCCACTGTGACACCCACTGTGGAAATATCGTTAGAATTGACACCGTGGGATCGGTCAGCGTTGCAACTTTGCCAAACGGATGCAAATCCAAGCGTCTTCAATTTTGACCGTCTTTGGAACATCTATAGATAGCGATCCGACAGCTTTTGAAGGGCGACAATTGTAAAAAAAAAATTACTATCAGTTAATCCAGTGCTAAGTAGTACTAAAACACACGCGCGCACACACACACATAATATACACACACACATTTACACATATAGGCATATGTTATATAAATTATTCGGGTGCGATTTTCTTTTCGTGACGATCAAAACATTCCGAATGAGTTACTTTCATAAGTTAAATCTCCACTCGTGTCCAGTTACAGCCCCATGCTGGATTCTTAGATTTTTTTTTCTACGACTCGGCTGGAGATTATACAACCTGAGCAAACGTGTATGACTGACAATACCAAACTAGAGTACACAATGACACATTTACAGTGTTTATGCATTCCAGAGTATTGCTTTAATACTCGCCCGGAGTGACCGAGCCCCACCACGACAAAGGGGGGGGGGGGGAGGGGTGGTAAAAGACTGGAGTTTAAAGCAACACAAACAAATTACGGTACCCTTATAGTAAACAACAACAACAACTGTATTGCTATGGGGAACCTATTGTTATCTCCGATTGAAACAATACAAGTCAATCGGTAAGGTCGATTGCATTCGAATACGTCCGCACACACGAACTTCGGACATGCGGTGCGCACTTGTAAATCGTGCTTCTTTTTCCGTACGTGTTTAAATGTCCAGTAGCTTATACACCGTGTACGCTTTTAAGTGCACGTTCGACGAGCAGTTCTTTTCGTGTGTCCATTTTTAACACTCCATTCTCGTATTGCTGACATACTGTAACATAAATATATTGCACTATTAAAAGAAAAAAAAAATCTGATCGGCAGTTATTGCATCCGCACTGGGTGTGCTGTTACTTATTGTATTTTACGACCAGTGCAGCTCTGCGAGGCGTATAGCGTCCGTAAATCTTGCGCAGCGGATGACCTTAACGCGAAACAGTTTCTTTCCTGCCGGTCACCGCCGCCGCGTGCGCTCGCTAGCACGGAGACGAGGCGGAGAGCGGCTTCGCGAAACCGATGGCGTCGGCGCTCTTCAGCGAGGGCTGGCTCGGGAAACTGAACGCCTGCAACGGGGCGGCGCCTTTGGCGGCGACCGCGCCGTGGCCGGGCCCCGGGTCCCTCACGCCGTCCTCGGCGGGCTCGGCCCGCTGGAGGGAGGGCACCGGCGAGCGGGAGCCCGGATCGCCGGCGACACAATCGTCGGTCGCGGGCGCCGCGGCGAGCGGTTGGGTGGCGTCGGGCGCTGGCAGGGCGCAACAGGGGCTCCGCACGGCCGCCTGCTGCTGCTGCTGTTGCTGGATCTGCACCTCGAAGCTCTGCAACTGGCCCAGAAAGTTGAAGTTGGGCGATATGACGCTGCGCCGCTGGCGCACGAACTCGAAGGCCTCGTCGAGGCGGAGCCGCCGGGTCTTCATCAGGTATGCGAGGCAGATGGTGGCGGAGCGCGACACGCCCGCGTGGCAGTGCACGAAGACGCGGCCGCCGCCTCGTCGCGTTGAGTCTGGGCAAACAAACGAACGGACGGAGAGGTTACGGAAAAGGCGACCTCTTGTTGGTGGGGAAAGCAAGGCGCCAGTCGGCAGGCGTGGCCCTCCCACGGCTGCAGCAGCAGTGCAACAACAACAACAAAAAAGGTGGCCGGGCTGGTAGTGACTGGTTGGTGTGGTCATGCCACATTTGCTACATTTAGTCATTCCCGACGTTGCATTCTTTGAAATGTCAACTCTAAAATGGCAAACACGCTGCCTTGTTGTTGGTCCAACTGCACCTTTATTTCGTGTAAGCTGTGCATGTATGCAACCATCAAATACAGCAGCATGAATTCAACTGATGAATACAGCAAACTATTTAGGTTATCGTTATGGACATAACAGATGCTATTCAGGACCGGCCAAGGTGGTATTTTTGTGTGGTAGACACAGCCCTTGTAAAAAAAAAAACTCATTAGATGACATTGGACATCCGTGAAAAAGAGCTTCATAGCTCATCAGATTCCTGCAGGATAAATACGGATTCTGATTCTGTGTGAAATGATGGCTCACCGATGAAGTCTATAGCCTCCAGGAACCAGGCCCCGATGTCTGCCTTGTGGTTGTCCTCCACGGGGATGGACTTGTAGGTGAACAGGCCCTCGAAGTGGTTGGGTAGGTCGGCCGAGACGTTGAGGAGCGCCGTGATGCCGATGTCGTCAAGGAGCTCCCGGCGGGACGCGTGGTACGCGCTGCCCAGGTAGAGGAAGGGGAGGATCTCTACTGGACCGCCCTGCATGAGACAACAACAACATTGGCATCAATAAAAATAACAACAATAATATTTGCAACGGGTTAAGGTTACAGCCCTGCAATTGTTTTCTCATGCCCATGCCGGCTCAAGGGCTTGAGAGAGATCCTCAGAGAGGGTATCTTGGCCTACTCTTCCATTGGAAGAGGTGGGAGTACACAAGCTTGACCCAGATCGCACGTGACCTGCCGATCGACGAACTGTGGCGTACCCATTTTATAACGACCACTGTCCATAATTTAAAATTCCACATCAAGAGACTGAATTATCACGAGTGAATCACATTCTCATGGGTATTATGTGTGGGAGGGAAGCAGCATAACCCATGCACAAGAGTGAATAGCACTCAAAGCGTTGCACAGACGGATACAGCAAAATGCCCTGTTACTGACATTTTCACATTTGGAAGTTTAAAAAAAATGTGTAACAAACTAACCCTGATCTCCAAAGCGCAGAATTACAAGCATACTTGGCTTGGCATTTCAACATGTTTACACGCAGGTGAGGTCAAGCCGTCAGTGTGCTTTTGAACAAAGCGAGGATAAAATGTGACGTAAGTGGACTTTGTTACAATGCCGGTGACATGGTTTTCTATTCCTGGCAGAGAACACCAAAGGAAAGTGGTGTTTGAATGTGGTTTAGGTCCCCCTTAAGATTCCCTCAGCCTAAAATTAGTTGAACACATGACACGTGTATCAGGAAGAAAATTCAGTCGGGCATAGTGCTTGGCCACAACTACCAAACATAAATTTTGCAGTGCCTGCATGCTAACCGTACTTTCTTCAACAATAAGACCACACGTGGTATTCCTCAGTGTGTTAACGTCAAAAGGCCACCACACCTTGCCATAAATTCCTACGAGAGCATCCCGTAGTTGTAAAGTCAACACTCAAAATTTGAGGTATGCTCTTACTGTATCTCAACCACGTGGCCCTTGGTCATCCTCTTGTTCACCAACCTCTGTAGGGCACTCCCAAACCATGCCCGAATAACCTGCCCTCCTTCATTCCACTACATCCTACAACCTCTTTGTCCGACACTTTCTCATCCCCATGTCCGGTTAAGAACCTCTAAGTTGCTCACCTTTTCATTCCTTGAAAATTCCTAACAACCTTCCCATATAACCTGTATTTGTATGACGGAGCTTTATTTATGTATGCATAACTTCTTTCACACCATACGTAGTCAACCGTTCTAAATCGGAGTTGTGAGTTAATAGTTTGCTTATGAAGCAACACTAAGGCCCCATGTAGCACAATGTAAGGCAGTAAGCTTTGTTATGGGCAGCAGATGGCAGTGCAAAAAAAATACATTGTGCCCATGACCCCGCACGGCACGGGGAGGCTCTCATCCAGCAGTGGATTTACAAAGGGGGCTCTGCACGTGCACGCACAAGACGGTTTACCTATTCGCCTGCCTTTAGGTAAGGCGGGGGGGGAGGGAGTTTCTCTCGCTGTGTGTACAAGCGGATGGGCATTGGTACGCTGGCTGGCAGCGTGGCAGGTGTAGATTTGCGTGCGGAGCTCGAGGCTATCATCCAGTGGTGGGATTGACAAAGTTGCCCCCCCCGTGGCATGTGCCTGTCCATGCGAGCCGAAGAGATATGCACCTGGTCGTAGGTTGGGGTTCCCGCTGTGTGCAAGCGGATGGGCACTGGTGGCAGCAGGGCAGGTGGAGTGGTCTTGCACGGGGAGGTCAAGGCAGAGTCCAGGCACAGCTCGGAGAAATCGCGGTGGAACTTCTCATATCCTCCTGGGGAGAAGAGAAGAAAATATAATATAATCACGCTGGTGAGCTGGGGATGATGAGAGAGAAAAAACAAACAAGTCGTAAAGCATTGCGCACAGCAGCTGTGAAGGCACAGCGACTGTAGGAGGCGCTTGCCAACCTGGCCTGCACAGGTGCCACCGATAGGCAATTTGTATTTTCTTGGCCACGCTGCAAGATTCACCCCCCACCACCACCACCCCCTCGAGAAGACTCCCTCGCTCGACTACCGTATTCTCTGGAATATTAGACGCATTTCCACCCTCCCTCCCTGCCTGCCAGTATTGTAGATCAACACATGGTGCGTCTTTTAATCCGTTAGTTGTGTGTTTATGTGCATCACCAGATTTCAATAACTATATTGACAACGGGCGCAAGTTTGAGGGTGCATCTTACTTTCCGACGGCGGGTCTTACAATGTAGCAATTCGCTGTCGTGTGTTAATTAATTAGGCTGTATAGGTATATATTTGTTACATGCATACATTTTATGTTACATGCATAAATATATACCTATACACACGTGCACGCGACGCATGGGCAGGCGAGAGCCCATTCGAGAGGAGGCAAGGGTCTTTTGTTATGCAATAGACGAGGAATTTTATGAATTGACGAAAATGGTGTGTGGTCTGGCGTCAAATAGTAGTGTACCCAAAATAAGTCGGACCCATTCCAATTTTTTTTATGCAGTGTTGTTTATGGTGTAATAGTAGTAGTAGCATAGCAATCTCTGCCGATGCTTAGGGCTCTTTTGTTTTGGTTTAAAATGTAACAAGGTCGCCCCAGTGGAAGAACGTGAATGCGTTGCACGTTAACGCGTTCTCTCATTCACAAGATCGGCGTGCTCGGTTCTGTCACGCGCACGCCGCCGACTGCGCATTTGGTCGGTGAGCAAACCCCTTGTGCGCGTGACGATAACCAACATTATTTGGCTTTGGTGCGCCGCTCCTTTTGGGGTGTTTGTTTTTCTAGTCTTTCACAAACAACGCGACGAATCCAATTAATGTTACCGGCGTTCGGGGATGTAGTCCTCGATCCACGGCCGCGAGCTCGTGCACGCGTGTAAGTAAGCGTACTCTTTTTGCAAGGCGTGTGTATACACAGTGTCCAATGGGGTTTTGTTGTGATTCTTGCTTCTGGTCGGAACTGTGTTCAATGACACCTAGACCAGCTTCGGGGTTATTATGAATGGTAAGCTATTGTTTGCCCAATTAACATAGTTCAAATCAACTTTTCAAAGGGATTTGCGCAGAACCATTGTAATGCGTTTAATTTCGAGTAATAATGATTGTGGCTTAATGATTCGCGTAAATTTAGGATTCATCGGTTAAATTGAAAAGTCACTGAAAACAACGTTGAACCCGTGTCAAATCGCACTTTGACCCCCGGTTATATAGCTTCCACTGTCAACACGTCGAGGTCAAATTTGAATATAAAAAGTCAAGCGTGCAGGTTATAATCTTACTATCACGCGTGTTTGTTTACAATGTATAGGGTTGTATAACGTTGTATACACGCTAACCATCGTCAATATTAACGTAAAAAATATAAACGTTCAACGTACTGTAGTGTGATATATCATTTCCGTGAATAGGTCTTAAGAGTAAATATGACATCATTTTAATCCTGTAGAGAGTACGGATTGTGGACATAGTCTAAAATTACTATAAATGACTTCACCACACACACACATTGTAAACACGAACGAAATGATGATGCTGAATCTGGGACCAGCAGGTGACACGAATGTTAATCCAGACACAAACCAGACATTCCACTTGTACGTACCACCGACAGTGACATCACCCCAATGGTTACACTCACACATTCCTTTGTTTGGCATTTACAAGTAGCACCCTGCGATAACCCTTGTACAATTCGTGGGATATAACATAATCCACATGTACTCTTCATACAGAGTGAAACTGGTAGTAATAAACTAGTGTAACCTCAACCAGAAATTTGCATCTGCTCTCTTTAAAACGCACGTCGCTACAAAAATAAAGTGTCAGCGTTCGTCAGTAAAATGCTGGATAAAGGCTCCCCCCCCCCAACCCCACGTATAGTTTTGACTATACTTCACCATGCTGGTCAGTGCAGAATGGTGAAGATGGGGCCGCACAGGACCGCTTTAGGTGCCACTTAGTCGCCACCGAGGTTGGCTGCGGCCCGCGAAACAACCCCAGATGGTCCGTGCTCCGATAACGCAGTGCGATAACCACTACCTGCAACGCCACTCATCCTGGACAGACTAATATCCCTCCATACACGCATCAGACATTGTATATCCGCTGCTGGATGGACCGTCTCCCTGCGGCGTTGCCTCCAAACCATCTCTTAACGACAAAACGCCACCCGACCTCATCTCTCCATCTCCGGGACACACCAGAGAATGACCAATGATGGACAAGCCTCGTGACGGAATGTCAACCAAGAAGACCGATAACGCGTCCGGGGCGACGGCCACATGGATAGATTTTAATCAGACAATACGGACAACCCCAGTCCCTTTTGTTGCCAGCCCCAAAGCACACACACAGACCGTGCGGGTCGTGGGAGATGCTTGACCATGCTTCATCACCGCCGTTTCAGCGCGGGTTTGGCGAAAACGTGTCACTCGCCACTGACGTTAGCAAACGAACCCGTCAGTCAGTACGGTCACCCACGTGCGCGTGTTGGTGCGCGTGTAAGAAGTGTTGATAACGACGTGCTCGCTTACAGCAATTGCCCCGACAGTCTGTTAAGGCTGTGTGAGTAGGAGGTGGAGGTGGTGGAGGTGAGAGATCTTTGTCTTTTTGGCCGAGAGCTCACCTCTCAGAAAGTACACCGGGGTCCCCCGGGTCTCCCTGCCCAGCGCCAAAGCCACCATGGCTACGGTGCTGTCCGCTCGCAGGGCGGACATCTCTCGCGTCCTCTCGTCCACCAGCACCACGGCCGCGTAGAGCCCGGCCAGGAGCCGTGCCCTCGCCTCCGTGCTGGGCAGCAGCTGGGCTAGGGGCAGCGTCCACGTCGTGGCCACAGACTCGGCCGCCTGCCCCTCCGCCTGCCCCGCAGAGGTGGCCACGTTGGTGGCACGGATGCCCCTTCTGCGGCGGCGTAGGAGGATGGGGTTGGTGTGCACGTTGAGAGAGCCTCGTACATGGGAGGCGCTGTACGCCAGGAACGAGCGGCAGTCCAGCAGCAGATACCTGCTGTTCACAAGAGGCGACGACGGTGGTGGTGGTGATAGGGATGGTGATGATGGTTGCGGCGGCGATGTCATCGATGCTGCTGCTGCGCTGCTGGTGGTGGTGGTGCCAGTGGAGGTGGTGATGATGATGTTGTTGGCACTGCTGCTGGTGGTGCTGTTATTGTTGTTGTTGTTGCTGCTGGCGCTGTTGTTGGCGGTGTTGATCGCAGCCGATGGACTGGACACGTCCTTTTCCCTGCTCTCCCCGTCTCTCTCGCGCAGAAGCAGCTTGCGTATCACGTAGCAGTCGATGGGCTGCGGTGGTTCAACGGGGCTCCATTCCGTCTCGAACACATCCATGATCACCATCGCTGCTGCGAGCCGGTGGGTTGGTGGGTGGTGTCAACGGGGGCAGGAACGAACTAACGTGATGATGTTGCTGCTGCTTGTTGCCTGTGGTTGTTGTTGTTGTTATTGTCGTTCAAATGGACGGAGCCTTAACCGAGAAAGGGGACAAGCCCATGTGCCAAGCGAGACACGCCGGGACAATTCGGCTCAGTCACACGCGGTCCCCCCCCCCACACATGGCGTGGCAGAGATACGCGTCTCTTGCGCTCTGTCACAACCCGCTCCCCGCCGCCGCAGCTGTCGGGCTCACACCACACCGCACCGCACCGCGTGAGTGCGAGCGAGCGAGTGAGCGAGCGTGCGTCTGTGTTGTGTGCTTCTCTCTCTTGAATCATTTCCTGCGTCTCATTTATAACCATTCTTCTCAATGAACCGACGTCACCACCCATATAAGGATTAAGGGCGTTACGTCACCCCCCCTCCCCTCCCCCAACTCTCCCCCCCCCCACCCCTACGGGCTGCCCCCGCCCCGCTCTCACCGCACCGCACGCCCCGTCACCCCCCACGCCTCCCCAACAAAGACAAAGGTCCCCCGTACAGCCTGCGCAGGCTGGTGGGGCAAGTGCCGTCAGCGAGCACATATGTTGGCCGGCACTGCACATCCGGATGGCCAGGACCACGCAACGACCGCCTTTGTTTCTTCCCGAGTGGCGATGTTTACTACACAGCTACTCATTTGAGGCTGAGTCGACCTAGGGGAGGCCCCGGCACCGGTTCAGATAATCGTCACCGGTGTTGGCCGTGAGCGGGAATCCAACCTGAGTCGGCAGGTTCGTAGCGGGAATCGAACCCCGGGTCGCTGGGTTCGTAGCGAACCAGCAGCAACCCATCCACCCAGCACCACCATCATCACAAACACAGTGCAAACAGCGCTCCATTCTCTCTCCACGTATACGGGAAATATTGCATTAGTACATCAGCCGATTGGCTTTCCCGACCAACAACTTGGTCTCATCAGCAGTGTCAGGCTTGTAAATTAACTACGACACAAAGCTATATACATTTAGTGGATTATTCAAATAGGCACACAATATTCAAATTGATAGTTTTCGAAAGTCGATAGGACGAATGCAAAAAAAAAATATTCCTCACACTACGATACGATCGAAACAATATCGACTTCCTTCCTATGTTTACAATGTATTTATGTAAAAGCATTCGATACGAACCTGCGTTGACCAGCGTGGTGAAGTATGGTCAAATAGCCCTCCAGGACCGGCGCGCGGAGTGAGCCCTTTCATCCAGTAGCGGATTTACAAAGGGGCCGCATGCTAATTTATAAGAACTGTAAATAAACTACAAGCGATAGTCCACATCATCGTTGAACAGCCATAAACCAGGACACGATTTAAAATCAACAACGAACTGATCAACCTCATCACACGACGTGAGTAGTGGCCGCAAATACGAAACAATTGCACATTTGGGAAACCAGTGGGTTGCTAAACTAGAACACATTTTGATTATAAACTCCGAGTTTTTGTTCCTCCTTCTTATGGGAAACCCAAAAGCAAAGAGTATTGGAAATCGGCTGTTAGCGAGCGCCTATTAAGGCCCGGCTGGTGTACCCCCCCCTTCCCGACCGTATTTGTTTCCCTTGTTTTACACCGCGCCCGGTAGTCATTTATGGCCAAGTCGACCTAAGGGAGGATCAGTACATACAGCTTGAGAAACTGGACATCTGTAAAAAAGTACTGGACGTCGGTGAAAAAAAGCTTCACAGCTCATCGGATTTCTCGAGTCTCGTTAAATATTCTGATTCCGAGAAAGCACTTGCAACTTTATTTTAGCCGTGGTCGGGGAATCGATTTCGATACACCGGGTTCGGAGCGCAGTGCGCTAACCACAACACTACCACTCCCCACAAAAACACGCACACGTATACTGACTGTATACACACACACACAAACAAGCCGCTGTGTCAGCTCTGCTTAAAGCGTTGTCCCCACCCGGACAATAACAATGTCACGCTCCAAAGTGCTGTACATTGCCTATAATAAAGATGCCCTTTATTTATCTAGGAAGGTCTTACTGGGTCTCAAGACTTTCAGGAGGGTCGCATCTGCAGCATTTGGTTTTGTTGGCCAATCTAATCAATGATTGGGTTGTATATAAATGCTACGGACGCACTATAGCCCACACAAAACCAGCCTTCTTGAATTCAGCTCGTTGCCTTATTATATCGTCAATGCCTTGCACAGAGGTCGTCTCCAGCTTCCTCTACTGGAAGCCATTCCGCTACCAGTGGCGTCAGCAACTCCATGGCTGCGTCTTCACTGCCTTTCATAGCCAACGCACCATGCTCCTGTTATTATTATATATTACGCGTATTAATAACGGAGTGATCGCCAGTGAATATTAAGTCACGGGTGACTTTTAAAGCGATATCGTGGCCCCTAAGCGGTATTAAAGCCGAGCCGAAGGGACTATATTTCTTAATTTCTGTTATAAATTTAATTTTCACCCCTCCCTCCCTCCCGCCCGCCGCTCCCCAACCCCATATCCACGTGGATCTGGCCCCTGACAAGGACAGGAAACCCACCACACCCCCCACCACCGCCGAGCCACGGAGGCCCTCCCTCTGCCTCCTGCCACACAACCTCGGGAGTGCCGACTCGAGCTCCATACATGGGCATCGCATCCGGCTCGCATGTGCGGGGACTCGGACGGGAGCAGATTTAGTGCGGAATTATCGACACGTCGACACAATCGCGGACCCTAAATCCGCATTAGTATTAATTCGCTTAGACGGTTTATGCACAACACAATGGCTATGTGGGGCAATTAAGAAAAACAATATACAGTGTATAAGGCGCGCTTTGATGTGTTCTCTGTCCCAAGAGAGCACACATGTCGAGTTAATTTATTGCGGCCAGGCTAATTAAAGCCCTTAGTACATACATAATACTATATGCACATTCTAGATTTGAAGTTTTCGTGACTGCAAGGATTCATACTCTTTGTTTTTTTCGGTAAAGTCACGTAGGTAAAATTTTTAATTAAAATAAATTAACTCACGACGTTTCGGAAGCAACACAATCATCCTCCGTCATCAGGTGTAACTGCTCCAGTAAAATTGCTGTAGCGTATGAATGATACGTACATGTTAAGCCACCTCTTTGTCAAACCACTGCTAGATTAAGGCCACTCTCACGACGTGCATGCGGTAGGCAATGATTTGTCCTCATGCTGGTCAACGCGGGTTGCTGAAGGCGAGGGAGCATATAAGTAGAGTACAACAACTGCCGTTGCTCCACAGCCCTCCAGTGACGACCGAATTGCACAGGTACACATGGCGTGTATCAGCTTCCGAGATCTAACGAGATCGTGTTCATTCCTGATGAATTGGTCATAGGCATTCAGTCTATACTGTATGTACACTAACACGTGCAGCACATATACAATACACATTCACTGCAGTAGCTTTGCCATGGTGCGTACATGCAGCAATGAAATAGTAGCTGCAATTTCACTGTTGCCTACTACCATCAGACAACCATATGTCCTATGAAGAAGGGACATTGCCCGAAACGTCAGCCGTTATATATTTTTGCCCTTTTAAAGCAGTGGTTTTTGTTGTTTGATATATATGCGGTAGATATCGTCGGATTTCGGAACCTTAAGTAGGACTGACCGGCTGCTGGTTAGGACTCGGATCGGTGACCCAGCAGGACTTGCCAGGTGTTGCAGTGTGTGAGCGGGGGGTGTTTGATCGTGACCCCCCCCGACCCCCACGTAATGCCTGGTGGATTTTCTCCAAGTTGTGCTGTTTGATCCCCACACGAAGCAGCACATCCGTGAATAGAATTACGGCAGGCCTCACATCCAGGCGCAGCGCCCTCCTGGAAACTAGTCTTGGGACTCGGCGATAATTCCTGTGTAAGCAGGAGACCTTTACAAATATATAAACAAATTGTAACCCAATTTAGTGCTGTTATCTCGTTTAATCGTGCATTATTAATTCGTACGAGTGATTTATAATTCATATTTATACACGTGGGGATGGAGCGGTGGCGCAAGTGGTTAGCGCACTGCGCTGTGAACCCGGCCACTTGAATTGATGCATGGCCAATGCTAACATCAGTGGCGGAGTGATATCAGAAGCGATCCTCGGGTCTCCTCGTCCCCAAGCCGCACTGAACAAATAAACAAATACGCCTGACTGAACCACGCGTGTTGAAGAAGCACAGTCGTCAAACAATGACTACCAACAGAGTAGCGAGGCCTCCATTCAGCGGCAGGTTAAACCAAGAGCTATAAACCGTTGACATTATCGAAGAAACACAAATATAGGTTCAGGGTTTTTTTTGTAAGCAAGGCACTGACAATAAAAACACACACAAACATTTACAATAATAAAGGACGTTTAAAGAGTCCTAAAATGTTTGCGAGCAAGCATTGTTCTTCAATAACGACCACCACCACCCCCCGTGTAGCCTGTAAGAGACTGTTGTGGCAAGTGCTGTTAGCGAGCACCTATGAAGGCCGGCACGGCCCACGAAGCGGTGGGTGGCCAACACCACGCCCGGCCGCCTTTGTCTCCCTAGTGGCGATGTTTACACAGCGCACCGAGTACTCATTTGAGGCCGAATCGGCTTCGGGGAGGCACAGGAACGGTTCAGATAATCGTCTCTGGTGTTGGCCCGTGAGCGGGAATCGAACTCGGGTTTCGTCGGGTTCGTAGCGCTCAATAACGACACACGCACACACCTGTATAGATGGCTACTCGTTTCTAAGCCTTTGAAATGTTTTTTGTTGAAGTCATTCAGAAATTTGACATCCATGACTAAAAGCTAACCAAGTCCGCATATTTTTTCCAAGAGATAATAACAGGGTTGAAATGAGTACAGCAAAATAGGAAACAAATTGCAATGCACAAAGAGCATTTTTTTATTTACACATATTGAACATTAACTAAGAATCCTAACTTGATATTTTACAAACTTACCGCATTTAAATAGGCCTATCCATATTATAACTCTCTACTTACCAATAATTACAGTTAAAATGAATTTAACTACTGTATAATAAAAGCAGTGCGCTGTCATATAAACCTACGTATTTATAAGTTATTGTAAATATTATTCATACGATACGCATCAACTAACGTGGTTCCTTCCTCTTTCTGAATTACACATTACATTTCTTCAACTCGGGTTTCCCGAACTCCATGCCTCTTGACTCACCACGGTATGCCTTTCCATATTTACCAGTTGTAATCATACGTGAGTTACGAGTTACATGGTGAAACATTCCTGAATCAGCGTTCTCTTCGTTATGTGGCACACAAAGACAAAGATCCCCTGT